TACTTGAGGCTAAGTGATTAAGAAATTTGCCCAGGGTCACACAACTAACAATCAGCAGAGCTAGGCTTCAAGCCTTTGGTCATTCAATTCCAGAGTTTTTCCTGTTAGCATCTAGCTAACACTGCTGCCCTCGCCCAAACTCAGATAATGAGATGTAGTGAGAGAAACCTGAGGTCTAGATCTGAACCGTGGCATTAATTACTGCTCACATCAGCTTGAGCAGGTCAACCCATCTCTCCAGTTATCTATTTCATCATCTATGATATGAGAATAATAATATTATTATATGCCTTTCCTGCCTTAGGAAAGTTAGGAAACAGGAAAGTACTACACAATTATCAGCTGATAAAAGTTTATTTAAAAACAGTATAGTTGTGAAATTGCTTGAATTTAGTTGTTATTTAGGGAGTATTTTATGTGTGACAGTTGAAAATTAGTTCTATCCAACCCAAATAACATAGATAGATGTAAATGATGCTTTGCTCACATAAACAAATGGGTGTGGCTTGAAGGAAAAAGTGACTGTACCATAACCATGCATTCCAACCTTGAGTAAACAATAATTGGCATCTACAGAAAAATAAGACATGAAGAGAAAGTCTTCATTCTGAACACACTTGTGCTTATACCATCTCTGTTACAGAGCAGGAAATTTTGAGTAATAGGGATTTCCTGAGAATTAAAAAGTGGTTTTCTCTTGGGTTGCAGTGATGCATGCCTATAATACCAGCAGCTCTAGAGGCTGAGACAGAAGGATCACGAGTTCAAAGCCAGCCTCAACAACTTAAGGAGACCCTGTCTCAAAATAAAACAAACAAACAAACAAACAAACAAAAAGGGCGAGAATGTGATTCAGTGGTTAAGTGCCCCTGAGTTCAATTCCCAGTACACCCCCCCCAAAAAAAAGTGGTTTTCTCTGAAGAGTAGGCCAGAATCTCCATATTTACTTATTTAGAGAGGACTGATCACTTACATGATTATAAAATTTTGTTTTACAGCCTATATACCCCCTCCTAAAATATTTTTCTATTAAGAATGAAAATGCAAAAGGTATTATCAACTTCTATTGCATGTACACGTCGATGGAAAATGTAATATTAAACAGAATATAACTTGAACAAATTAGAATCATCAAATTTTTCCACCTAACCTTAGCGCTGTGGCCTCCTCGATTTTAGTGAAAAATAACATCATTGACTAAAATACTTTATTTTTTTCTCCTACATTTGTTTTGTTCCTGAGCATAGAGTCAAATACTAGAAAACATGCATAAAATTTTTCTCTGCCAAATATTCATTCCCCTTTGGAATAATGCCTTAATTTTCCTTTAGGATACCATCCTCTTTTTTGATTCTCAGTCTTTAAGGTTTAAATGGGGCTAATTATACTCACTGTCTGCAGTAGTCTGCAAGTGACTTAAGTCTTGGCCAATCAAAATGACAGTGGTTTTTTTTCAGGTTTGGACATGTCACCCAAAGAAGACCTGTGGACATCCATCCTGGCCTGTTTGGTGCAATTATAGGAAGAAAAAAAAAAACTAAACAAGTAAGATCCAACTTTTGGTATCTTTGCTGCCACTTTGAAGAGAATATATTTGAGAATAAAGCCAAAGGAAAGGAGAGCCACTAAATAAAACAATAGTTTCCTAGTGGTTTCTTTTGCACACCTCTCTCTCTTCCCCTGATTCTTTCCATTATGTTAGTTAGCACATCCTCTTTTTGTTATACCAGTCCCTTGTGAGCTTCTGTCAAGTTTAAGCTGAAGTCAAGCTTACTAACCCAAAGAGATTTAGTTGTGCAAAGTTTCTATGGATCACATTATGTAATCTATCAGGACCCCTGCAGCCTTTGGGGAATAGGAAATAGAAAGAAAATCTAAGAAGTCAAATTTACTCCTTTTCATTTTCCTTCTCTGTTATCCAAGAAATGTTAAGTATTAGTAACAGCAAATATACATGGAGTGACTATAATCTGACAAGCACTATTCTAATCCCATATTGTTGGTAAAAAAAAATTATTAATACCTCTTACCAGGTAAGGACACCAATAGGACAGAATTTTTTGTAGTGTTTCAAAAGTTATCCCAACACAGAAAGATAAAAGTTAAGCCTCAATGGAATACCTTCCAAATATCAACATGTATTATAGTTTTATCAGCATAACAATCTAGAAAAATCTGAGTACAGTGACTCACATCTGTAATCCCACCAATTCAGGAGGACTGCAAGTTCTAAGCCAGCCTCAGCAATGTAGCAAGACTCTCAGCAACTTAGCAAGACCCTGTCTCAAAATTAAAAAAAAAAAAAAAAAAAAAAAAAAAAAAAAAAATAAAAAAAAAAAAAAAAAAAAAAAAAGAACTGGGGATGTATGTGGCTCAGTGGTAAAGTGCCATTGTGTTCAATCCCCAATACAAAAAAAAAATTAAGAGCATTCTAAATTAGGACTCAAATTATGCTTCAAATTATTCCTTTCCCATAGGAAATCTGTAATCCCAAAAAAGAGAAAGGAAAAAATAATTGGTTTTTGCTCTACCATTAGGGTTGAAAATCAAGTTCGAATTATAATCCCAATGTCATCCTTAACTGACTTTTTGAGTATGGGTACTGCATAACCCTGTGTGTCCATAAAGTTATCAGTGAAAGCAAATCTGCTTATTTTACCTAAATTATGCATGGAGCAAATGAGAAATATATTTGGAAAAGCCTTGAGAAGTTCAAGGTTCTAGGTATATGCAAAATATTGTTATTACTACAATTACTAATAGTAGTAGTAGTAGTAGTAGTAGTAGTAGTAGTAATAGTAAGTGTCAAAAATTCATATTTGTCTGATTAAGAGAGAAGACTTCCCTCTTCATTATATCAGAGGAAATCACACAACCTGAAAATCACAATAAGGTCGTAATTCCCAGTTTATGCTTAATGCCTTATTCTACATGTTTTCAATTCCCATATAGGAAAGAGCAACAATAGAAATAGAAATAATACTGGTATCAAAAGAGCTGGTTCTAGACCTGACTCTGCCACTAGCTTACTTTGTGACCTAGGATACCAACTTCCTCTAGCCTTCAGTTTTCTTATCTACAAAATGAAGGGATTAAATTATGTAATGTGGTGGCCATCACTGGTGCTCACCTATACCTGGCTGCCCTCTTCTAGGCACACACAAGACTATCTCAGATCACTCCTATTTATTCTTGAACAGGTGACTAATTCCAGTCATACGGATATAAACAGCAAAGATCTGTGTTACTTCTGGATATTTCTTTGCCCAGTGGAGATTCTCCAATGTTCTCTTGCATTGTTGGAGCCACAGAGGACACTGCTAATATGAGATAGTCCATATTATTATTCATAATAGAGTCTCTTTCTTCTTGGGGCCTTGAGTGGGTATGTAAAACAGAATTCTCCAATAATCCACAGTTGGTAAGTAGTGGGAATGAGAAATGAGCCATTGTTGTGGTAAGCCTCAAATATATTAGTGCTATTTTTTCATAGCAACATAACCTGGCTATTCTAATTAATACAGTTAATTTGGGGGGAGATTTGTGAGTACCAAGGATTAAAGCCAGAGGTACTTAACCACAGAGCCACATTTTCAGTCCTTTTTTTTCCCTTTTGAGACAGTGTCTCATTAAGTTGTTTAGTTCCTTGCTAAGTTGCTAAGGCTCTCTTTGAACTTGTGATCCTCCTGCCTCAGCCTCTTGAGCCGCTGAAATTACAGGTGTTCCTCATCATGCCCAGTTAATACAGGTAATTTATGTAATTATTCTCAACTTTCTACTTTTATTCTCAACATACTACAATTGCTATATATATATATATATATATATATATATATATATATATATATATATATATGTTTTTATACTTAAAAATAGATTTAGAGCAAAAAGATGCTATAAAACCTATAGATCTGCTAGAAAATTTTTCTTTATATCATATAGGGAAAGATGGGCTAAGGAGAGGCCCTATGGAGTTTCCCTACTCCCAAGAGAGGACATTCTATAAGATCTCTTTGAACATGAGTTTTTCCTCCAATCAAGACCTTAAAAAATAAATATAAGGGGCTGGGGATGTGGCTCAAG